CGCCGACGACGACAACGACGAGGGAGGAGGGAATACGACGACGACGACAACGACGACGACGAGGACGACGGCGACGACGACGACGACGACGACAACGACGGCGGCGACGACGACGCCGACGTCGACGACGACGAAGACGACGACGACGCCGACGACGACGACGAAGACGACGACGACGTCGTCAACGAAGACGACGACGAGGGAGGAGGGATGACGACGACGGCGACAACGACGACAACGACGACAACGACGAGGGAGGAGGGAGGACGGCGACGACGCGAACGACGAAAAAGGAGGAAGGACGGCGACGCCGACGACGACAACGACGAGGGAGGAGGGAAGACGACGACGACAACGACGACGACGACGACGGCGACGAAATAGGAGGGACGACGACGAGACGCCGACGACGGACGACGACGACGACGAGGGAGGAGGAGGAAGGACGACCACGGCGACAACGACGACGAAAACGACCACGACGCCAAAGAGGACGACGACGACGAACACGAGGAAAGACAGAGGACGACGTAGGCGACGACGACGACGACGACGACGACGCGGGAGGAGGGAGGACGGCGACGACGACGATGACGACAACGACGCAAGAGTGCGCGCGCACGCTTTTGTTGAAAATCCGTGTTGCGAAACCTTGTAGTTTGGAAGGTTTTTTGGACACGCGATTTTGAAATCCTTCCGAAACCGATGGGTCTTGAAGGATTTCGGCATACGCCCGCGACGACGCGCGCGTCTGCACTTCGTCCCGTTTTTTGGGAAAGGATTCTCGCGACGGCACACGCGCAAGGGCGTCCGACAGATTTCGACTTGCGCGAAGCCCGTTTGGTAGCACTTTGTGAAAGTATTGATAAACCTATGGTTGTCTTAAGATTTCGCCTGAGCTCGCGCGTAAGCTTTTTTAGCACATCTGTGTTGCGAAACCATGTGTTTTTGTATGTTTTGGGGAAACTCGATTGCGAAATCCTTCCGAAACCTAAGGTTTTGGAAGGATTTCGGCATGCGCGCGCGACGACGCGCGCGCACTTCGTCACTCTTTTTGCAAGGGATTCGTGAAACAGTCTTATGTTAGAACAAGAGATGCCCCCGCGCATGGTTATATATATATATATATAATAATAAGCAGGGGGTCGATACCGGCCCCCCTGGGATAGTGTAAGTTCATGTTTATGATGGACATGTGGTCAGAATCGTATCTGATTTACATACCCGAAAGGGGGCCAACGCGGGGGGGGACGGTAGAGTCTATCCGTTTTTTTTTTTTTTTTTTTTTTTTTTAAAAAAACCCCCCCAAAAAAAAAAAAAAAAAAAAAAAAAAAAAACAAAAAAAAAAAAAAAAAAAAAAAAAGGAATATTCTACGATGAGCACAATATGTGAAGCAACCTACGTGTGCAATTTACGTGGCGCAATACGGTTGGTGCAAGGCACCGGGGACGAATAGAACACGGTCAATTCCAATTGCTCGCGCAAACATCCCACCCACCACCTCTTTTTTTCTCTTTTCACTTTTTTTTTTTATTTTGTTTACTTTTTTTTCTTTTCTTTGGTTTTGCAAATGCGTATCGTCCCACTCATGCGGGAACGATTGCGATGAGTGCTTGGTGTTGGTTGGTGCATTTGCGCGGCCGCGCTAGCCCGCGCATGCTCGCGCGCGCAGCTGCCAGCAAGTTTGGCGCGACCAGCGCGAACGCGGTGGCGCTGACCGCTCGGCACGTCCCAGCGGACATTTCAGTGCGAGTCGGCGACTTAGGCGGGCGCGGTACCATGGCAACGTCGACACGATGATGATAGTAGCGATGTTGGTGACGCAGTTGGCAGCGGCGACGGGGCAGCCAGCGACGGCGCCGACGATGTTCACGCCAGCGACGATGACGGCGTCTTCGCGTCGGCAATGAAGGTTTTCGAAGGAATTCGAAATGCGCACGCGGCAGACGCGCGAGAGTGGCTCGCATGGTATAATTCGACACGGATCGTGCCATCCCAGCACGCGCGCAAGGGCGTAACGATTTCGACATGGGCGCGCGCGAAGCCCGCTTGGTGGCACGCAATGAAAATGCGGAAAAAAACGTAAGGTTTTCGCAAGAATTCGCAAGAGCGCGCGCGCTTTTGTTGACAAGCCGCGTTGCGAAACTTTGTTTATATGTTTTTCTTTTGGACACCCGATGTTGGAATCCTTCCGAAACCGGAAGTTGTTGAAGGATTTCGGCGTGCGCGCGCGACGACGCGCGCGCGTGCACTTCGTCTCACTCGTGCGCCAAGGATTTTTGAAGACTGATGATGTTTGGTAAACGAGTACGCGCGCATATTATTTTTGTTGCCAGGGAGCCGCGGGGGGGGGGGGGGATGCTGGTCTTGGCTGGGATAGTATGAATGCACAGGTGGGATGGACATGGGGTCAGAATCGCACGCGTTTTGCACCGGTTCCCGGGGGGTCGATGAATCCGAGGGGGAGGGTGGTAGAACCTATTCCTGTGTAGGAGAATCTACGTTGTGCAATCCAGTCTGCTGCGCTCGAAGTCGCCAACTCCACTGCTCACGCGAACACCCCATCCTCCCGCCCGCAACCTGTTTGGAACAACTCATGATGAGGGGGAAGGCGGCGCCGCCGATGACGACGTCGACGATGACATCCTCACTGCCGATGCTTGTCGCCGTGAGTCGATGATGAGGGTGAGCACACCGACGATACTCGGACGTGAGCGATGACAAGATGACGCCGGCAACGTCTGCGACAACGACGAAGATGGCACCAGCGACGACGATGTTCAACAGGGCGACGGCACGAACGATAACGGCGCCAGCGATGGCAGACACGTTGACATGCTGATGCTTATCTGTCGATGAGGCAGGTGATCGCGGTGATGCTGACAAGGTTGAAAAGGACATCCGCGCGCGGAAGTTCAGCAAATCCGTCAGACTGATCATGCGCGCGCGGCGGCGCGCGCACGTGGCCTGCGTGGTTTTTGTTGTAAGGGATTTGCGCCCACGGCGCATGTCAGGAGTATCGCGGGTGCGCCGCGCGGTGACATGAAATCGCTGGATCTGGCAGAATTCAGAAGAATCCGATGGTTGTTTGTCGGAATTTAGCATGAGCGCGCGGACAGAACATTTGCAATATTTGCGTCGCGAAACCTTTGGGTTTTCTCTGCCCATACGCTGACGCGCTGGCGAACGCATGGTGTCTGGTATGATTTCGACACGGGCGCGCGCGGTGACTTCGTGGCATTCCTGGGAGGGGATTATTGCAATTTGCTTTCTTACGACGAAGAAGCGCGCGCATTTGTTTTTTCTCTGAGGATGGAAGGGGGGTCGATGCCAGTTTGGCTGGGATAGTATGACTTCACAGGTAGGATGGGCGAGTGCGCAGAATAACTATGACATTTCAATACCCCGAACGAGATGGTTAATTGTGGGGTGGGGCGCGCGTGGGGGTGGTGGGGGGCGGGGGGGGGGGTTAGAGTCGATTTTATTTTTTAGAAAAGAGAATCTGCGCGGCGGCGACGGGGCGGCGACGGCGGCGACATCGCCACAAGACCGCCCAGACGACGAACGGCGACGATGCGGCGACGGGGCGGCGACGGGGCGACGACGGCAACAACGTAGCCGCCACGCCGCCACATTGGTCCTGACGATGGGCGGCGACGGGGCGGCGACGGCGATATCATAGCCGCCAGACCGCCACACCAGCCCAGAGGACGGGCAGCGATGAGGCGGCGACGGGGTGGCGACGGCGATAGTATAGTTGCCACACCGCCACACCAGCCCAGTTCCTTAGAGCAGAAATGAAAAATTCTAGATGGAAGCGCCGTTCTGGAAACAACGGTACAACGACATTACGCACAAGCGAGCACATATCATGTTTGACGCTTCCGCTGTAAAAAAGGCATCGAAACCTCGTCAGGCACCGTTCCAACAAAATGGTGGTGATCATCATCAACCACATAAATTCCACACATAGATCCAATGTGGACACGGTCAACAACATATCATACCTTCCTCCGGGTTCCCATGCCATTCCACTCCCCATCCTCGCCTCTGCTAGTCCCTTTCCCTTTTTCTTCTACATTCCCCGCGTTCGTTCTCTTTCCCCGCCCCCGTGCCGAGGAGACGATCGTTCACTCATTGTGGGTCGTTGGGCACGGGAAAGGGGCAAACGCGGCCCCTTCCCCCCGCCATGCCCCTCCCATTCCATACCTCCTCCTCGTCCTACTCCTCTAGCTCGGGGCGGGGGGGCATGGGAGGGGAACGAGGACGGGTGAGGGAGGAGGAGGAAGAAAAGGAAGAACAATATGAAGGAGAGGAAGGAGACTTGAGCAGAGAAGTGGGGAGGGAGGGGGAGGGGAGGTGAGAGGAGAGCCGCCGGAGGAGGTGGAGGAGTGCAGAAAATGAGGTCAGGGGGAAGATCAGGTAGATAAGGACGATGAGAAGGAGGATGGGCAAGAGCACAGAAGACATTGGGAGAAGGAAGAGGGGCACCATGATGAGGGCCAGGACAAGGACGACGAGGTGGAGGGAGGAAATTGCAGAGGAGGAACAAGGAAGAGGGGAAAGGAGCAGAAGAAAGACGACGAGGAAAAGAGAGGAGTAGGGGCGAGGAGGAGGAGGAGGAGCAGGAGGAAGAGGAGAGGAAGGGTACGAGTGAGGAGAAGGAGAGAGGACGGAGGAGGAGGACGAGAGCGAAGAGATAATGTTCTATAAGAGGAGAAGGAGAAAGAGGAGGAGGAGGAAGAGGAAGAGGAAGAGGAAGAGGAAGAGGAAGAGGAGGTTGGGGAGGTCGAGGAGGAGGCGGGAGGAGGAGGCGGAGGAGGTGGAGGAGGAGGAGGAGGAGGAGGAAGACCAGGACGAAGAGGAGGAGCAGCAGGACGAGGGCGGCGAGGAGGACGAGGAGGAGGAGGAGGAAACGAGAGAAGGAGGAGGACGACGACGACGACGAGGAGGAGGAGGAGGGAGGCAAAGGGAGGAGGCCAGCGCCCCCAACTGACAGGGCGCGACCGCCTTCACCGTGCACCGCGTAGCGCAGAGCAGAAGCCTGCCAGGGAGGCGGGGGGGGGGGGCTGCATTCGTGCTGCCAGGAGGAGGAGGAGGAGGAGGAGGAGGAGGAGGAGAAGAGGTTGGACAGGAGAAGGGTGGACAGGAGGAGGATGAGGACGACGACGAAGAGGAAGAGGAGGAGGAGGAGGAGGAGGAGGAGGAGGAGCATAGGGTGGGCAGGAGGAGGAAGAGAGAGGAGAGAGGCAAGCTAGGTGCGCTCGCGCCAGATCTGACATCCGATAATTTCCTCCCACCCTCTCACAGGAGGAGGGGGAGGAGGAGGAGGAGGAGGAGGAGGAGGAGGAGGAGGAGGAGGAGGAGGAGGAGCAGGATGAAAAGGAGGAGGATGTAGGTCGCGGAGGACGAGGACGAAGTGCAGCAGCAGGAAGTGAAGTGGAAGGAGCGGGAGGAACAGAAGGACCAGGGGATGGCGGGGGGGGGGGGGAAATGAGTCGGGCGACAACGATGAAAAAGGGCACGGATCCAGAGAAGGGGCCTACGCTGGGGCGGGAGCGTCCTCCTGGACAACGGGAACAAAGCGCCAATCCGAAAACGAGGCCCACGCTGCAGCGGGAGCACCATGCTTGAAGCACCGAAAACCATCGGATTGGACAGCGCCATCGGGAACAACTACTTGTGAAATCTTGCACGTCTAAAAACAACAACAAACGAACGGGGAAAACACAAAACACGCGGAGAGGGCCGAATATGTGTCGCAAGGAGTTTGGGGAGAGAGAAGAGTAGTAGTCAGATTGTGCAAGTTCACAGAGGAGAGGGGAGGGGAGGGGAGGGGAGAGGAGAGAAGCAGAGAGGAGAGGAGAGGAGAGGAGAGGAGAGAGGCAACATACGTGCGCTCGCACCATATATGACATCCCACCTCTCCCACCCATCCCCATCCCATAACGTTCGCTTTTTCTCGATCCGCGGATGAGTGTCACAGCGGACCTGGAACCTTCAAAAGGACCCCATCGTGTGTTACTGAATCAGATTCGGAGAGCTGCGCACGTTGGAGGTACATCGGAGGAGGAGGAGAAGGAGGAGGAGGAGGACGACGACGACGAGGACGACGACGACGAGGAGGACGACGACGAGGAGGACGAGGTGGCAGATAAGCAAAGGGGTGAGCAGGAGGACGAGGATGAGGAAGAGGATGAGGAAGAAGGAGGGCGAAGAGGAACAGCAGCAGGAGCAGGAGCAGGAACAGGTGAAGGCGGAGGAAGAAGAGGGAGACCCATACCTCCGACGTTGTGATGTGTCCAGTGGCAGTGTTGCTTTTCGGCGTCGACCTCCATTGGCACGCTTTGTTCAGCAGGATCATCAACAAGGTTCGACAAGAACAAATTGTCCCTTTTGAAGGGGTCGGGAGCTCCTGGGCTCACGCATTGACAACACAGCATCGGATAGATCATTGTCTGGGGAGGAGAAAAGGCGGAGGAGGAGGAATAGAAATAGGAGAAAGAGAGGATGAGCAGGTGGAGGATCGAGGTTGTCTGCAAATTTCTGCCTTTGGGGGGCCTCCCGATTCTGCGGGGAGGCCGCCTCCACAAGACAAGCGGCAAAGGGGGCTGGAATGGTTTTGGGAGGAAGGGAAGATGAGATGAACGAGAGGAGGAGTTGGAGTAGGAGGGAGAGGAAGAGGAGCAGGAAGAAGTGGAGGCGGAGGAGGAGGAGGACCAGCGCAAACCCAAGAGTCATCAACGATGCTGGCAATAACCCTCCCTCCAAGCTCCCTCTTCATGGGCCCCTACAACGGTTCATCTCCATTGAGGGAACTGCCTCGTTGGAAGACAACCGTTTGAAGATCCGGAAGCATGCCAAAAAGATTGTTCTCGGGATGTCGACGCCGCGGATCAACCTGGTTGCTGCGTCCTGACGATCTGGAATCGCGCCAGAACGCAATTTGTTTGGATTTCATCCAACACCGTGAATCAACAGAACTGTCGCACCCGCAAAACCCTGCGTCCGTCCAACGCACCAGTTTCTGGTACGTTCACCATGGGACTCCGTGGAGCGATTGCAACTGGTCAAACATTGTGCACGGCACCGAGGCGAGAGCCACATTGTGACAAGGAGCCGCCCTCGGTCCGCGAAGCTCTTGCAAGATTTTCAAACGGATGTGCGCGGCGCTAAGGCGAGAGCCACGTGTTGAGAAGGAGCCGCCCTCAATCCGTGAAGCTCTTCCCAAATTTCAGAAAAATGTGCGCGGCGCTAAGGCGAGAGCCACACGTTGAAAAGGAGCCGCCTTCAATCCTTGAAGCTCTTCCAAAATTTCAGAAAGAAGTGTGCGCGGCGCTAAGGCGAGAGCCACACGTTGAAAACGACCCGCCCTCAATCCGTGAAGCTCTTCCAAATGTTTAGACCGAGTGTGCGCGGCGCTAAGGCGAGAGCCACATTTTGAAAACCACATTCCCTCAATGCGTGAAACTGTTGCAAATGTTTGAAACGAATGTGCGCTTCGCTGAGGCGAGAGCCACATTTTGAAAACGACCCGCCCTCCATCTGTGAAACTGTTGTCACTTTTTACCTAACAGCGAAGACTGATAGGTTTCTAGTGGTCTCAAAGAAGCTCACAGATCACTCCCACAGGGGGGTCCGGGCAGGTGTTGTGGGAGTTCCGGTGCGGCATGGAGACGGTGGGCTTTTTTGTTCGTTTGTTTCGTTTTTCATCTTCTTTTTGTTTCGTCTTTTATTTTTTTTGTTTTAATTTTTTTTTTTGTTTCGTTTTTTTTATTCCTGCTTGTTTTTGTGTTGTTCTGTTTTTTTTTCTCTTTTTTCGTCTTCGTTTCACAAACAGGTCACACACCTTTTTCGTGCTCTTCGCCTTCCCAGAATCCATTCCCAGGCACATTCTGGGGGGCCGGATGCAATGTAGGCCACTTCGTGGTCTTCGAGGTCCCAGAACTCCATTCCCGGGCCACATTCTGAATGCCCGGAGCCAACTGTAGGCCAATTCGTGCTCTTCGAGTTCCCAGAACTCCATTCCCGGGCCACATTTTGAATGCCCGGAGCCAACTGTAGGCCACTTCGTGCTCTTCGAGTTCCCAGAACTCCATTCCCGGGCACATTTTGAATGCCCGGAGCCAACTGTAGGCCACTTCGTGCTCTTCGAGTTCCCAGAACTCCATTCCCGGGCCACATTTTGAATGCCAGTAGCCAACTGTAGGCAACTTCGTGCTCTTCGACTTCCCAAAACTCCCATTCCTGGGCTACATTTTCAGCAGGGGCAAGAGCACGACGAGGGGGAGGACGAGCAAGACCAGGAGGACGAGGACGAGCAGGAGCAGGACGAGGAGCAGGAGGAGCAGGAGAAGAAGGACGAGCAGGAGGAGGAGGAGGACGAGCAGGAGGAGAAGGACGACCAGGAGGAGGAGGACGACCAGGAAGAGGAGGAGGAGGAGGAGGAGGGGAGGGGGAGGACTACCAGGAGGAGGAGGAGGAGGAGGAGGAGGAGGAGGAAGAGGAGGAGGAGGACGAGGAGGAGGAGGAGGAGGACGAGGAGGAGGAGGAGGAGGAGGAGGAGGAGGAGAGGAGGAGTAGGAGGAGGGGGGGGAGAGCACCAAGAGGCCCAAGAGGGGAGAAACGAGGACACCAGGAGGAGGAGGAGGAGAGGAGGAGGAGGAGGAGGAGGAGGAGGAGGAGGAGGAGGAGGAGGAGGAGGAGGGGGATGAGAACATCACGAGGAGAGGACGAGCAAGACGGGAGCGAGGACAGAAACGAGGGCGACGAATGACCAGGAAAGAGAGGAGGAGGAGGAGAGAGGGGGTAGTGGGAGAGACTTTACCAGGAGGAGGATGAGGAAGAGGAGGAGAAGGAGGAGGAGGAGGAGGAGGAGGAGAGAGGAGAGGAGAGGAGGAGGAGGACGAGGAGGAGGAGGAGGAGGACGAGGAGGAGGAGGGGTGGGGAGAGCACCAGGAGGAGGAGAACGAGGACCACCAGGAGGAGGAGGAGGGGGAGGAGGAGGAGGAGGAGGAGGAGGAGGAGGAGAGAGCACCAGGAGGAGGAGGACGAGCAAGACGAGGACGACGAGAACGAGGACGAGCAAGAGGAAGAGGAGGAGGAGGAGGAGGAGGAGGAGGAGCAGGAGAAAGAGGAGGAGGAGGAGGAGGAGGAGGAGGAGGAGGAGGAGCAGGAAAAAGAAGACGAGCAGGAGGAGGACGAGGACGAGCAGGAGGAGGAGGAGGAGGACGAACAGGAGGGGAGGGCGGCCGGCTGCCCCGAGTCGTGCGCACAAGGGCTCTGAGGAAGGCTCCCTAAGCTCGAGACGCTTTGAATACTTTGTAGTTTCCTCGTAGCTTCCTTTCCATGCCTTTGTAGCTTCCACGCACTCCTGCGTCGCCAAGTTTCTTCTTGCAGCGTCCTTGTCGTGTCGCGTGGTGCGTTTGCGTCACTTCGGTGTTGCTGCGCCTTGAGACGTGTCTCTGCGCTCCCTAAGCTCGAGACGCTTTGAATACTTTGTAGTTTCCTCGTAGCTTCCTTTCCATGCCTTTGTAGCTTCCACGCACTCCTGCGTCGCCGAGTTTCTTCTTGCAGCGTCCTTGTCGTGTCGTGGGGTGCGTTTGCGTCACTTCGGTGTTGCTGCGCCTTGAGACGTGTCTCTGCTGCTTCTTCGTCCCATCGGGGAGTCCAGCGTCACCGAATTTGTTCCAGTATTGTGCTTGTCGTTCCAGGTCGTGCGTACGCGCGCAGAATGTTTCTCTGCAGCGTCCTCGTCGCATCAGGATGTCCAGCGTCGCAGAATGCAGCCTTGTAGCGCCTCTTCTTCCAGGGCGACGTGGTCCTGAGTCGCCGCGGACGACTCGCCGCGGACGGTTCCATTCGATTCCACGGGCGATCGTGCGCATGAAGTTTGCCACGCGCCTGCGCGCGCGGAGAGGGCCTGGGCGCCCTGTCGCCTGCGGGCGACCGCGCGGGTTAGTCCCCGCAAAAGCCAAAGAGGGCATTTCCACACGCCGGGGAAAGCCTAAAAGGGCTTTCGTCTGCCTGATCCCCCCCCCCTCTTTCCTTTTCTTC